GGAATGTGATGAAATAATGGCTTTAAGCTAGAAAAGGGTAGATTTAGGTTAGATGTTAGGAAATAGTTCAGTATGAGGGTGATAGATCACTGGAATAGGTTGCCCAGAGAGGTGGTGGAGGCCCCATCCCTGGAGACATTCAGGGTCAGGCTGGATGAAGCTTTGAGTAGCTTGATCTAGTTGGAGATGTCCCTGCTTGTAGCAGGGGGGTTGGACTAGGTGACCTTTGGAGGTCCCTTCCAACCCAAGCATTCTATGATTAAAGCAGATGACTCTGACACCCCAGAGTGAGCCCTGGGCTGTAGCTGTGGAGCACTTCCAGTGCCCCTGGATGAGGCATTGCTTGGACCCAAAGGCCATGGGGTCTATTTGCAGCTGCACTGGTTCTCTGCCAAAAGCAATGAGGGGTCTGCCTGGGTGGGTGGGTGCTGGGAGCCTGTCCTGCTTCACCTCCCCTTTGCTGGAGAAACGGGGGCCAGGAGAGCCTTGCCACGTCCACGAGTGTGCCCAAGATGGGGGCAAAGCTCAGCAGAGGCCACTGAGCTCTGGGGGTGCAGGAGCAGCTGGGGAGCAGGGGTCTGGGGTCACCGACAGCCCCGTGTCGACCTGGCTTGTGTCTCCCCAGGAACCTTCCGAGGAGTGTGCAAGAAAATCGACCACTTCCCCGAGGATGCAGATTACGAGCAGGACACGGCCGAGTATCTCCTCCGTGAGTCCACTCCCCGTGATGGACAGAGCTGTGTGTGCCCCAGGGGATACCCCCCTGCCCTGGCACCCAGGTGATCCCCCCCTGCCCTGGCACCCCCCTGCCCTGGCACCCCCCTGCCCTGGCACCCCTCTGCCCATCCCCAGAGCTTCACCCGGCAGTTCCCCCCGCCCGCTGGCTGATGTCCCAGCCCCCCAGGCTCCCTGCACAGCAGCAGTGACCCTCCGGGCTACCCGAGCGTGGCCACAGCAGCAGTGCCAGTGGCACCTGTCCCCACAGCCAGTCCCAGCAGCTCCTGAGCTTGCCCAGGTGTGAGGGCCACTGAGGAGCAGGACACCACGGTCTCTGGTGTGGCAATGCTGGGGTGCTGAGTTCATGCCAGGCCCCCTGTTCCCTGAGTCTCTGCGGCCAGGCTGGATTTGCTGGTCCTTGCTGGGAGCACGACCATCATCTGCCAGGTGCTCTGCCAGCAGCAGCAGCAGGGCATGGGGACACAGAGTGAAAAGAGCTGCCAGCTCTCCTGGGAAAAGGGGTCCTCCTGTCTCAGGGGGCAGCAGAGCCTGGAAACCCCCACAGGGTCTCTCCATGGTGGAACCTGTCACACGAGTGATGCTGACCCTGCAGAGAAGAGGCATTGTCACAGAACCCCAGCATGGTGGGGCTGGAAGGGACCTCTGGAGATCATCCTGTCCACTCCCCCTGCTCCAGCAGCTCACCCACAGCAGGGTGCCCAGGGTCACAGCCAGGTGGGTTTGGGATCTCTCCAGAGCAGGAGACTCCACAGCCTCTCTGGGCAGCTGCTCCAGGCTCTGCACCCTCACACCAAAGAATTTTCTCCTCCTGTTCAGATCGAACCTCCTGGGTTCCAATGTGTGCCCCTTGTCCTGTCACTGGGCACCACTGACCAGAGTCTGGCCCCAGCCTCTTGCCCCCTGGGGGCCCTTTAGCTTTTGCTCAGCCCTGATCAGATCCCCTCTGAGGCTTCTCCAGCTCAGCAGCCCCAGGGCTCTCAGCCTGTCCTGGGCACAGAGATGCTCCAGCCCTTCAGCACTTTCAGAGCCTCTGCTGGACTCTCTCCAGTATCTCCTGGTCTCTATTGACCTGGGAAGCCCCGGGCTGGGCACCCCAAGCACTTCACAGACATGTGCACGAGTGGTGCTGGGGCACAGGGGAGCAGACTGGCAGAGGCTGGACACAAAGCACACAGCCATGTGCTGCCCAGCAGGTCAGCAAGCACACACACGTGCCCCTGGGAAGGCTGCACAGCAAAAGGGTTATTTGAACACCTGCATTTCCAGACAGGTAAGAAAATAAGGCAGCAAGGGCACATGGCAGCCTTGGAGGCATTGGCATCTCTGGGCTCTGAGCCACTGGGGCTGGGAGGAAGCCCTGGGGTGAAGGGACCCCCAGCACCCATCGCCCTGTGCTCAGCCCCGACCCCTGGGCCAGGCAGCAGCTCCTGCCTCGGGCAGCTGCTGCTCATCCAGATGTTGCTCTGAACTCCTGGTTCTCTGCAGGGAGCCATCAGCTCTGCTCCCCCATCGAAGAGGGGAACGGCTTTAATGGGATCAGTTTGCAATTTTAGGAGATTAGCATTTAAGTTCTTCAGGTTCCTCTCCCACCCCCTCCCGCATTTAAAATAAAAAGTCTATTTTAAAGCCCCCAGAATGGCATTTTAATGGGGCTGCTCTGCAGCTCTGTGCTTCTAATAAAGGCCCCAATAAGGGATGAGAGCCCAAACCAGTGTATTTGCAGAGCAGCAGGTAGGGACTTGCTGTATTAGTTATTCTTTACCATCATTTTAGAAGCTGGTCTTGGGCTTTTTGTTCATTTTGAGAATGTAAACAAATGACTTTCTGTTGACCTTGGGGTCTGTTAGTTTGTAAATTCTTGATTTTTGAAGCAGACATGATGATTTGGAGACCCAAGGGGCAAGTTCCTGCCCTCTGTGGTTGGCAGTGCAGTTCCTTGCCAGCCTGGTGACATCTGAGGGGGTTCTGCAATCCCAGGCTCCAGTCACACCCGGAGCCAAAACCCCTGGGTGGTGTGTTTGGTGATGGGCAGGTAAATCGCTAGTACTGACTGTGTGGCAAGACTGGAGGAAATAATTCCTTGAAATAGCCCAGGAGGGAGAAAAGCTGAAATTCAGGGTTTCAGCTGTTTTTGTGAGGGGAGGCCTGACTCACAGGGTTTGTGGGGCTGGTGCTGGGCTCCAGAGCGAGCTCGGGGACAAGCAGAGGGTGGACGGGGGGACTGGTGCTGGGTGTCCCCATCCCTGGTGGCAGCCCCCCTGCATGGTATCACAGTGCTGGCACCAACCCTGCCCCTCTGCCTGTCCCACAGGTGCTGTGAGAGCATCCAGCATCTTCCCCATCCTCAGCGTGGGGCTGCTGTTCTTCGGGGGCCTGTGCGTGGCAGCCAGCGAGTTCTACAAGAGCAAACACAACGTCATCCTCAGCGCAGGCATCTTCTTCGTCTCTGCAGGTAGGAGCTGCCCAGCGGGGTCTGGCGTGGGCTGATGTGGGGAGCTGGACATGGCGGGTGGGTCCTTCTAGGCTGTAGAGTTCTGGGGTTCGTGAGCGTGGGTCCTTCTAGGCTGTGGGGTTCTGGGGTTCGTGAGCTGTCCCGTCCTGGTAGGAAAGTCCTCGTGGCAGGAAAAAAAGCTATCTGAGGCTTCTGGAAGTGGTTGTGGTCCAGGACAGCACTTTCAGCATCCACCCTGCTCTGCCCCGAGCGGTCTCCATGCGGGTGCTGCAGCCCAGGACGGGCTCCCGGGGTGCAGCCATCCCACTGGGGAGCACCCGGCAGGTTTTGGGGGGCTCTGCCTTCCGTCACCACCAAACAGCAGGTCATGGGGTGCTGTGCTGCAGCGCTGTGCTGGCAGCAGCTGGGACAGGGCAGAGGGGCTGCTGCAGTCCTGTGAGCAAAGCTGCTGTCTCTGGAGGGGCCGTTCCTTCGGGATTGCTCATTTCTCCATGTGCTGTTCCCCAACGCTTCCACTGATTATCTTGTGACAATGTCTTTGTCTCAAGGAACTGCTCTATTTTGTGTTTTTCTTCTCCCCACAAAGAGACAAATTACTCTCCCTCCTTCGGCTGGCAGGAGCTGCTGATGCAGATGAGAAAACAGCAGAGAGAACATAATCGATTTGTTAAGTAAATCCAGGAATACATCAGCCACTCCCCAGCCCTGCAGCCCAGCCCCACGGTGCTGCTGGCAGCACAGAAACTGTCCCACATCCCGAGTGAAGGCTCTGGACTCCACCAGAAATGAAAAGAGACAGAGCCCTGCCCACTGTCCTGCACTCCCAGGGCCGTGGCGAGCCGGGGTCCATGCCCCAGGGATCTGCTCCATGCCCAGGGGCTGGCTCTGCTCCGGCCACAGCCCCAGTGCCTGGCACCAGCTGGGCTCCTGTGGCCTGTTGCTCAGCGAGCAGCTCTGCAGAGCAAACCCAGCTCTTGTGATGTCCCTTTTCTAAAGAAAATAGTGGCTGTTCCTCCTGTCCCCACAGTCAACATCAATATATGTCTATACTGGGTAGAGGTGAACACAGATGTGTACTGGGGATGGCAGCAGAGATCTGTGGGGGGGTTTGGCCCTGGTGTGCTGGCAGAGGGGCTGCTGTCCCTCGGGCCATGGGGATGCAGCCGTGGCCCCCAGCACACTCCCCTCCTGCCAGGCACCCCACAGGTCATGATGGGCAGGAGAAGGGCCTGTGCCCCTCTGCTGCGTGGAAGGGATCAGGGAGCTGGTGTCTCCTCCTCCCTCTCCTGCTGCTCAAGCGAGCACCTCTCCCCCTCATCCTCCCCGAAGGTCTCAGCAACATCATTGGAATCATAGTCTACATCTCGGCCAACGCGGGGGACCCCGGGCAGAGCGACTCCAAGAAGAGCTACTCCTATGGCTGGTCCTTCTACTTCGGAGCCCTGTCCTTCATCATCGCGGAGGTGGTGGGGGTGATCGCCGTGCACATGTACATCGAGAGGCACCGGCAGCTCCGCGCCA